TTTTATTTTTCTGGTATTTTCCGAAAACCAAAATTTTTGGTTGTATTTTTGGAATATAAAACTTTTGGTGGTAGTTTGGGAAACAAAACTTTAAAATATGGTATTTTTGAGAATTATCCTGAATTGATTTAAGTCTTATAAATAAATAAAATGAACATCATTTAATTGATTATGGAGATGATTTCTTATAACATTTTTTAAATTATCTATCATTTTTCAATTTTATCCGAAAAAACTATTTCAAAACTTAACAAAAGTTTTGCTAATATTACCCGAATGATCCATAATTCTCAGTTTGAATAGTGATTTCAACTATCAGTATTATCCGTTTGGATAGTAATTTCAATTCTTGTTCTATTCTTACCTTTAGATTACCCGTGTACATAGTGAATTTTGATATTCTAATTACTTTTACCCGATCTTTACCCGTAATGTGCATGCAAGTATGTATATGGACCTTGTTCATTATCGTTTGATATAGTAAATATGGATTCTATTAATTTGTATATAACCTTATTTTTTAACCAAAAATCATCTTGTTGATTTTTTCAAGGGTTAAAGTTTCAACGAACTCACCCATGCTGACCATGAAACACTGAGAATTGCTGCCTGCACGAGAAAGACATTCACCAATCTATTACTTGTTTATAAAAAAAAAAGTTAATTTATTTAGTGTATGGTTTAACTGAAACAAAGTGAATATAAAAAAAAATATGGATAAGTTTACTCTGAAGAACTCCATAAGAAGACCTGTTGATAACACCTTACGTTCTCCGACGTCAGAAGCCAATATCGGCAATATAAATAGCTGACAAAAAATATTTGAGCAACACATATCAATGAACAACAATTATTCCACTATAAACGACAATTACATTATTTTACAAGTAATTAATTACCTGACAGATGCAGCCAGTGATGCTAACCAACAGCACTAGTTCAGCAAAGTCATTTTTGGTGAACCCAAAACGGGCTTTCAGAAAATACTATATTGTTAAAAAAACAGTTAATACAATTTTTTTGTTAATCATATAACATCTAAAAATGTGGATATGAGAAGAACCATGAAAGCAGATTCCATTCCAGTTTCTGAGAAGGTAGCAAAGAATGTAACAACCAATGCTTGAATGAGTATGGTGCTGCAATATTCATATCGATCAATTAGGAT